AAGATGAACTTTTCCGCACCGTGATCCACACCATGCATTTATTACAAATCTTTTACTCAAAGAATTCACGAGAAAACTGAACCTGACATTAGTTTTAAGATACAAATAATTTTCGAAGCACTTTTCATACAAAAACTACTAAAAATGAGAATTTTTGTATCGCAGCCATGCCTATATGATATCGTAATCATGTGAAAATTTGCAGAAGGTTATTTTTTCACAAAAGGCTAACATTCCGAAAGTTTGAAGAAATTTCAATGCATATTAAGGGTACTTCCCATACAACATTTCGTTTTTGAGCGAAAAATCCAAAATTTTGTTCGGGAGGTGCCCCTAATATGCGTTGAAATGTTTTCAAACTCTCGAAATGGTATTTTTGTATGATAATAATAACCTGTGCAAAGTTTCAGCTCATTACGATATCATACAGGCATGGCTTCAATACGAAAATTCAATTTTTTTGAAATGTTTGTATGAAAAGTGTGTCGAAAGTTATTTGTTTCGCAAAACTAACGTCATATTCGGTTTTCTCGTACCCAAAAACCCCTCAATACACATTTTTGAGTGTTTAAGTACACTTTAAATATCACTTTTGGAAGAAAAATTGAATTTTTTCTCATGAATGGCCATAGGCATCACACCAGACATGACACTTCACTCTGTCAACCAAAGTGGCTCAAAATCTAATGGTTTCTATTCCTCGGCACCCCCAATCATCCTGTGAAGTCAGATTTTGAATTACTTTTTTTGTTTGAAAGTTATCGTGTTAACAAATTTTTGCGTACAGGGTACAGCGTACAGCGTACAGGGTACCACGCACATACATTCGGACATCGAAAAAACGCTAGATTCGTGTTTCCTGGCTCCTAAAACACCCAGAAAACATGTTTTTTGAGGGTGTTAATTTTTCGACCGATTCCAATACTTTACCTTACACACTAGGTGTGTGCAGAAAAGTAAAATGTATATAATCTACGTTATAACACGGAAAAGTAACGGCATCTCGTGCAATAATATAATGTGTGTGCGCGCGCTCGCGAGCCGTGTTGAATCTCAATGACAAAGCATCTTTTACGACGTCGCCGTATACGTTTTCATAATTTTGAATAAGTGTATGTGTGATTCGCGACCGACATAATTCTGTGGCCCAGCACATAACTTTTTGCTATACCTTCACTTCGGTTGAATTGAGTGTGTGTGTGCTAAAATGCAGCCGCACCAATATGTCAAATGCTTGCACACATGCGAATGCGAAAAAAAAAACCTTTCGACACACCAAAAATGTGCAACACTTGTTTTTATTTATTATTAGCAAAGACCACATCTCACCTGAATGCTGGTGGTGCGGCTATAGGCGACCTGGCTTCAATCCTCTCAAAGTGAATTTTTTTCTTCAACGCGTCGAATTTAAGGAAATCAATTGAATTTCTCTTTAAGAAATAAATAAAAGAACACTCCTTTGCAATGAAAATAAAAAAACGAAAATTGAAAATAAACCACGATCCATTAGATAAAGCCTCCATTCGATCGGCAAGATCGACAAAAACTCACTTTACTGTTCAATTTTGTTGGGTGTTGTTTCTTTTGTGTTTTGAATCGGTTAAAATGCGAATTGATGTTTAGTGCGGTGCACCAGCGGTCCAGAGTCGGTGCAGAGAGCGCCAATGAAATGAATGCGGAATGAAATTGCATTTCATGTGTAAATATCATGCACTGTTGCGATTGCTTCGTTCTTCACAAATGTTATGCAAACGCGGAATATCATGCTGGAATATGTTACTTTGGCAATGCACAATGGCAACTATGACTCGATTTTCTATTATATTTTTTGTGGCTGTGTGTATGCGAATGCAGGTTGTTGCTAATTGGAATGTAACAGTGCAATATAATGATTTCTCCAGTGCCCGGTCAAATCTTTGTCTGTTTTTTGCTCTCTGTTTATTTTTTTGGGTGAATGGTTTATGAGTTTCGATAAGATTTCGCCATTGTAGCGCTGAGTAAGAGAGAATCGATCAATTTGGCCGATTGAGTTGGCAAACTGACCTCTTGCACAACAAGAGGCCAAGTGAGCTAAAGCACGCAAGACTCATTCGTTCAACGAAATTCCCATCGCTTTCAATGTTGCACACAGAAACTATATCGATGACGAACATTATTCGAATGCATCCGTACAATTTAAAAATTTCAAATGAATGAAACTCTTTTTTGCATGCAAAACTCTCTTTTTTAAAATTCAAATATATGTTTTTTTTAGTTTGGGCAAATGTGTCGCGCGTGTGTGTCTTCCGTCACATTCCCAACTCTGAATGGAATGCAGATAATGACGAAAAAAAAACCTTACATTGTTCAATTCACCGAACAAAGAGACGCGAATTGTATCGTAAATTGCACAACATACACTCAGTTTGGTTTTAAACGAACAAATTGCATATTGGCAAAACTGTCGCATATTGTCGAAAGATAGAGAACGGAGAGAGAAAGAGTGAAAAGTGAATAGAAATGTGTACAATTAAACGATTTGTCGCTGTCGGTTTTTTCTCTGCTGTGACTCGGTACGACGCCCCGGAGAAAGAGTTTGGAATGCAGGCATAAGAGAGAGGGAAAGAGATAAAGCGCGAAAAAAGTGCAACAATCATCAATGAGAAATGGCATTGACGTTAATTGTGAGGCATTTGTGCACACGAAACGAAAGAGAAACAGAGACAGCCAAAGAGAACGAAGTGGTGCAAAGCAAGAACTGTCACATTCATTGAACTAAATGAGCGTTAATTGAATCAATTGTGCTCTTGTTTGCGAACATGTCATTTGAAATGAAAAAAAAATTCGTCACTAATTGCTGCATTATGTATCCGTTTCAATTAGACGGTAGAAAGTGGATTGACCGTTTCATCCGCCAGCTCACAAAATCGCATTATCAAATCAATGACATTTTTCAGAAATGACATTTAATTTCAACGACAGGGCACGATTCGGATTAATCAGTTCGTTAAAATGCACACACACTGTAATCGAATGCACATGGGGTCAAGTGCAATTGCTTATAATTACGATTAATATGATATGCACGAGAGAGAGAGAGAGAGAGATAAAATATGAAAAAACCGGCCAGCATCAGCTATTTTGAATGAATGTCGCCATAATGTCGCCCCCGCGAGCACCATGCTGATATCATCGCAGAAGTGTTTGATTAAAGCCGACACACGTCCGATGATAACACAACGGCTTATAATCAAAGTCGAAGGACGAGTCGCTTTTGTTTTCAAAATTCTCATTTCAATTGTGGCAAATGCAATGTGGGCAGGAGAGGATGTTTGCTGTTGACGCATCGCATTTAATAAAAGAGCCAACATCAATTAGAATTTGTCATCATAGTCGCACATGCACCAAAAACGCGCCACTTCCAAACTGATTAAACACCATAATTAGATTTCATAATGAAAGTGTCATGATTATAATTACAATATGTCATGCCCTTACATCCCAGAATAGAACAAAAACGAAGAAAATTGATGAAATTAAATGAAAACAAAAATCCAATTAGAAATTTCGAATTTTTTTTAATTGACTTTTTTAATGCAGAGAAAAAAACAAAATTCTTCGAGCAAAAAGTAATTTTCCTGCGTCAACTGCCATATTGAGTTCACTACTTCTACGAACAAACCACCAATTTACAAACAAAATTCGCTTCCAATCAAGTTTTCATGCGAATTTTGTCGCTTTGAACTTGGTCTGTAGAAAAATTCATGAAAAGAGACCCAAAAGTGTTTCATATGTATGCTCAAAATGGTCCAATCGTGTTCAGAGTGAATTTGTTGAGTTCAAAGCGGATGCGGTTTTACTTCGGAATGCATGACAATTCTAGCTATGGAATTTCCCTCTCATGCATTACACAAAACAGTGAGTTTTCGTATTTAATTCAGCATTATTTTGATGAGCTGCGCATAAAATTGGAAACAGCCGAGATGCTAAACGCATTTTTAATCGTCGTCATCATTTCAAATGAAAATGCGTTGCCACACATGTTTCATACATATACGACGACCACAACACACAGTGTATGTGCGCTTGGCAAGAAAAAAAAAATGACGATTCAATTAACTTTCAATAAACAAACCGAACAAAAAGAACACAATCAAAATATTTTAATCGTAAAAACAGTAGCCGAATCAGATAGAGGCATACGCGCGTTTCGATTTTGCTGTGCAATGCTCGAGCGTTCGTGAAGTTTGTTGCGTAAACAAGAGTTTAATAATAAAAATTGATAAACCAGATGTTTTTGCTCTCGTATGTTGGCCACCACACGATGCACTGTACATATATACCAAGTCACTTGCTATCTGTATCTATGTTATTGTCTCTCTTTCTTCCACAATCGCTGATGCGCCCAGTTATTCGACTGAATAAATGGTATTAAAGCCCGTATTTCATCAATTACAATAAATAATTTGTTCTTTTCGTCATCACTTCGCACAAACAAACCATTTACGCTCTTTTCTTCACTCAAAATATGCCGCTTCGATTTTATGTTTTTAAGAATTGATGGCTTGAGTAGATTGTTTTGCTTTTTGGTGTGGTTGAGATTTCCACGCGCGTTCACAGCATGAATCTCACGCGCTACTGTGTTTATTTATTTATTTCTCATCGAAATCGATAGGAAAAAATCATGTTTGTGTGAATGACGTCATATGCGAATCCATTTTCCTTTTCAATTAAACAGATTTTCTCTCTAATTGATTTTTCGACGGATTTTTTTCGTTCATTTTGACTTACATTGCGGTTACCGACCCGATTTTAAATGAAAACCAACAAAACAGACGAAATCAATCGTTCCAATTTAAAACAAGATTGAATTATGCAATTATATCGGAAGAATTATGGGCTCGATTTTTGATGATACACAGACTTATTGGAATATTTTTCAAATGCAATGTAGTTTTCTTTGTACGAAATTGAATTTCATAAATATTTGTTCGATTAATTTTTGTATTTTCTCTTTTCAGATTTATCACGTGCCCAACGTCAGTTGTCAAAGAGTTTGGACGAATTTAATTTTGAATGCATCGGATCCACACAAACCGATGACGAACAAGTGATTGTCAATAGTCTTAAACAGTTTAGTAAATTGATTGCTAACATCGAAGATGAACGTGATAACATGGTGAGCATAAAATAAATTTCGGATTCTTTTTGTTACAAAGTCATTATTTCTCACACAAAAACTCAGATATATTTTTTATTGAAAGGATTACTCATTGTTTTACATAGTGTTCAAAGTCTGAATGGACATTTTACATGTCATTAAGTTTGATGCCACGAGCAGTGGCTTCCTTCAAAACGCATTTTACAAAAGTGCCGCTGAATTCACATCTGAAATTATCGTATATATCAAGGCATATGACTGATTCACGGTTTTTTATGTATACTTACTCATCGGCTTCACGTGGAGCTTTACATATGTCACATATTTCCTTGCCTTTATCAAGCTTTGTTTTATCGGTACCACTCATTGCCGCCATGCTGTTTGCGGCTTCACAATCTACTTCAAGAAATCTATCATTGGTTTTTGCCTGTGTAAGAGATGTATAAATTAGTTTTCTCTTTGGATGTAATGATTATCGTCACCGAAACTATTGAATTGAATGATACTTCAAATGAAAAAAAAAAAACTAAAAAAATTTCGAAAATGTGTGTTTGACTCCTTTAGATGGTTTCACATCAGTACAGACTACGATTTAAAATGTCATTCAATTCGACAGAAAGGGATATCGATCGTGACCAGTGGTCATCAACTTGAAATACCATATGAAATTGTTTCAAAAGACAAGTAAGAGTGCATTTCGCCGGTTTTGTTTCCGACAATTTTCCTTCCAAGATTTTAGTCATTTCGGCATCGGGAAGGCCATTGTTTTTTCTGCAATCCTCAGTCATCATCATGACCATGTCTTTGATTTCTTTGGGTAATTCCTGAAATTAACGCATTACTTTTTACTTTTTTCGTATATACTCGTATTAAATTGCTAAACTAGAATAAATTCTGGAATTCGAATTCAACGCTCATTAACGCCAAATAAAGCAGTGGCGGAGAAGCGAGAAAATAGCTTTTAATAAGTAATACGTACTTTGGCTTCTGAGACCAGAAAAATTACACACACAAACACTGTTATTTTTATTGAATGCATTTTTCGAGTAAAAACTGACAAATTCTTTCAAGTTATTTTAAACAAAAATCAAATTGGGTATCATTTTCGATGGAAGAATATTTTGGTTTGAAAATCGAATCACTATTAAACATTCGAAACGTAAGTTCGCTCAATATATAGCAACAGTCGAGCTTGATGACGTGAGATAAAACTTGGAACGTCAATATATCGACCGACCGGAAACACAGATGCACAGGAATCGATCGAATAGCATGCAATGTTGACAATTATCTCGAAATATATCAGCGAAATCAAACTACATTTTTCACTTATTCATTTGATTTTAATTTAATTTGAATTATTTCACAACAATATCAACGATAACGCCAATTCACTAAAACATTGAGTCAATTGATTTTTATCAGAATATTCTTTTTGTCGCTCTAACAATATTTATTTTAAAAAATTTGATTATTATTCAAATCCACGTGGAAATTGTTTGAGAAAAATTCCGAAAAATTCATCTATAGAGTCTAGACTCTATTCCAATATTCAATTTAAGCGAAAAAAAATCGATGTAAACAAATCTCTTTCTATTTTCAGTTGGACCAGGCTCACGCTCAAATCGTGGTGCCGTTGGAGAATTTTCGGAAGGATCGAATTGGCGGCGTTAAAGAGCATAAAAAGAAGTTTGACAAAAAGACGGGAAAGTTTTGTCAGGCACAAGAGCGATTTTTGAACATGTCTTCAAAGAAACCGGACAACACAATACAAGAGGTAAGAATCCATCCAAATAAATTGCGTCACAAAAAATGACACTTTTGCTCCGATATCATCATGAACAAAGAAAAATGTGCGAATCGTACAAAAAAAACTGTTTCGAGACCGTCTTCGTATTACTTTTCCGCACACACTTAGTGTGTAAGGTAAAGTATTGGAATCGGTCGAAAAATTATCACCCATAAAAAATGTGTTTTCTGGGTGTTTTTGGGGCCAGGGAACACGAATCTAGCGTTTTTTCGATGTCCGAATGTATGTGCGTACCCTGTACCCTGTACCCTGTACCCTGTACCCTGTACCCTGTACGCTGTACCCTGTACGCAAAAATTTGTTAACACGATAACTTTCAAACAAGAAAAGTAATTCAAAATCTGACTTCACAGGATGATTGGGGGTGCCGAGAAATAGAAACCATTAGATTTTGAGCGACTTTGGTTGACAGGGTAAAGCTACCATCACTTACAATGGCAAATAATGTAAAAAACTGCATGATGGCGCCATCTCTATGTGCTCATGAAAATTAGAACAAAAAGTTTGTGTAGAATGTTAATTGTTTGAAGTTTGAATACGGAATCATTTGTTGTGACGTCTGTCATTTTACGCTCGATAAAGATATACCGTGTAAATTGAACAAAAACCGATTTATTATTTGTATTTAGTGAATTTGTGATGGAAAATAAATTGAAATTACTTTGCACAGTTTGTGTCATCGAAATTAACTGCGAGGACGTTGCATATCACATGGTTTTTCTTCACACAAAATCAGTTGACATTTTTGACTTTTTCGCACCAAAAAAAAAAATGTTTTAATTGCCTTTGGTGCTCGTTTGGATCGCGAGTTCAATGCCAAGCACATAGAGATGTCGCTCGGAACGTGAAGCTCAAAAAAAATATACAGGTGATATAGAAAGCAAGTGAGGGTAGGGGTAAAGTGTCATGTCTGGTGTGATGCCCATGTCCATCCATGGGAAAAATTCAATTTTTCTTCCAAAAGTGATATTTAATGTATTCTTAAACACTCAAAAATGTGTATTGGGGGGTTTTTGGGTACGAGAAAACCGAATATGACGTTAGTTTTGCGATACAATTCATTTTCGACACACTTTTCATACAAAAAATTCAAAAAATTTGGATTTTTGTATGGAAGCCATGCCTGTATGATATCGTAATGAGCTGAAACTTTGCACAGGTTATTTTTATCACACATAAATACCATTCCGAGTTTGAAGACATTTCAACGAATATTAGGGGCACCTCCCGAACAAAATTTTGGATTTTTCGCTCTAAAACGAAATTTTGTATGGGAAGTACCCTTAATATGCATTGAAATTTCTTCAAACTTTCAGAATGTTAACTTTTTGTGAAAAAAATAACCTCTGCAAATTTTCACATGATTACGATATCATATAGGCATGGCTCCGATACAAAAATTCCCATCTTTAGTAGTTTTTGTAAGAAAAGTGCTTCGAAAATTATTTTTATCTAAAACTAATGTCAGATTTAGTTTTCTCGTGAATTATTTGAGTAAAAGATTTGTAATAAATGCATGTCGTGGATCACAGTGCGGAAAAGTTCATCTTACGGATGTAAGACATTTTATTTTTATTTTCGCAATGCTAAAAATAGTTCAATTTTGCCCATTTACGTTTGCGATAAATAATTTTCATTGCTTCGGAGCTTTCTGTGTTTTATGGTTTCGACTTAGGAATCTATCGGAAGTCAATGTGCTAACATGACGTCATTTCAACATTCCAACCGCATGCGAGTGACTGTTGCGAAGCAAAAATGGATGCAGACCAAATGGTCATGTTGTATAAAACTGAATAGCTGTGAAATAAAAACTGCAATGCTATTTACGTTCATCTATTCAACGAATCTATTTTTAGAAAATGAAACGAAAAGTTCAGTAATCTAATAAATTGTTACGATTGTGCGTTTCGGTCGACAGTGCGTATATAGAAACTGCCGCATTTTTCGCATTCCACTCAATTGTGACTTGAATGTGCACGTATCATTTCAAAATCGAATTTAATTTTCGAAAACTTCCGCCAAATATAAATTTTCCATTGCGACTTTGTGTGGGTTTGGATAAAAGTTTCATCGAGGTTGTCGTCCTCAGTCTAAGCACTCTTAATTTTTCACGGTCAATTTAATGTTTGTATTTGAGCCTTAGCAACCGGCACGCTTGCCTCTCCTTCGTCGTGGGAATTGCCGGTACTCGAACATATAGTCGTTTATGCGGCGAGGCATATAATTTCAGTCCATTGACATGAAAAGTGTGACATTATGAATGAATTCGTCTCTGGGTCGTGGTGTCGTGGCAACCACATCAACATTTGATGGCTAATTAAGAGAAATTGCAAGACGCCAAAATTGGCTACCAATTCAAACCTTCTAGGAAGAGTAAATCGTCGAAGGAAATAAAAAAAAGCAACCATTCAACAGAAATAGAAATCTTCAACTTCAATCGTATGCTTTCTCGATGCGATATTCAAAATGTAATAATCATCAAATATCAAAAGGTTTGGCAAAGTCGGCATGAAAGAAAGAGCAGAGATACGACGCCTACGATAACAGCCATTATTAAGGGAAAGTTTTTCATTCCATTTCTTGCTTCGGTTATATTTGATGAGCTATTTTTATCTTTCAAATGCGAACCCCTTTCGAAAATCGTTGATTTTGTAACTTTTAATATTTTTCCGCATCAATTTCCCAATCGAGCTGATTTTGGCGAGTGGAAAAAATGTGAAAATGGTACATTTATCGAAAAGATGAAAAGATCCAAAAATCAAATTCTGTTGTCGAGCTAAAAATAGCAACATACTTCAAATCATATCATCACAAAAAAAACCCGAATGAGAAAGATAATGTACGTCATCAACGGGGGGTATCATCATCAATGTACCATCATCTCCACTCGAAATCGACGAGAGTGTCATCAAAAAATAGAATGGATAAGCTTCCCTAATCGTATTTACCTCTGAACCATCGCTTGATAGCTGTAAATAACCGATGTTTAAAAATAGCTCAACCGAAATTGAACTTCTCAAGTGGAAGCAACACTCTTAAGCTCAAATGCTCAATTAAATGTCGTGCATCAATGATATTCACATTTTCTTCACAGCCAAGAAAAGGCCACTTTCACTCTCTCTCTCTCTCTCTCTCTCTCTTTTTTTTCTTTCTTCCTCATCTCACGATCTGAAGGCATCAAAATTCCATTAATGCCACCCACATTCCGGCACAAACTATCCGCATTACGAACAGCTGGCCATTTGGTAAATACACGAAAATTGACTCTCTCACACACACACACACACAGCATGTATGCCTTAACAACAACAATAGAAAACCTCTAATCGAAGGTCAATTTTTATATGGTCAAATGTAAATAACTGCATTCGATAAAGTGTAATCAGCTGAACTTTACAATTCCGAATTGTGTGGGTTGAAATGCCGGACAATGTCACTTTTACCCCCCGAAATAAAGAAAATATAACAACAAGTTCATCGAAAAAGTGGTAATTTATCGCCGGACAACCATTTAATTGGATATTTGTACGTTAAAAAATATGTATGCGGTTGTTGTCAAGCACTTTTATCATATGACACTACCATTAGCTCATACTATCACTCTCGTTCTCGGCAACTCGATATCATGCTGTCAACCAAACATTTTGTTTGTATCGGTTTTGTTTTTGCTTTTGTTTGCGAAAAACCATTCAATGTCTTATCACCAAGTCACCGAAGCTCTGGGTGAATGATACGCATGCGCCGCGATGCGAATGTAGTGGTGATTGGAATACAGTTCTCCTCCGTTATCCTTGATATACCTATATTAAAGAACATAGTAGTGTATAGCACATTTTTTGTTCGCTTCCGTACTAGGGGTTCGCTTTTTCGCGTTTTTTTGTCGGTGGAACAACAGGGTGTGAAGGCTTTTTAAAGGGAATTTTGAATTATTTTTCGCTTATTTTCCATTTTTTCTTGAATATTCAAAAAAATATGCTTTTAAATCGCTAAAGAATTGAAAATATTCAATAAAATGATTACCTTTTCGAAATGAGTGCTAATAATCAAACAAAATCGTGTGTATCGTCCGAAAATTTGATGAAAAATGCATGTTTTCCAAATTCATATTACTCTCTAAATTCTTTAAGCTAATCTAAAGTCATCTTTCGATTCCAAAAACTCGAAGAATCTTGCCTTAAACTTTCCAACCTTTATAAAACTTCCGTTTAAATTCGGTCGGTGTGGCGTTTTTCGTGCAGTTATAAACCCCGTTGTGTGTGATTCAACGCGAATTTTCCATTCTCACTTCACGGTTCGTTCCTTACACTGATTCTCCTGCTGTGTTTTTGCTTCAAGTCCTGAACGAATCACACACATACACCGAATACATATCGCGGAATAGGTACGATGAACAGTTACTCCTGATGTCGATGTTGAATTGTGTGAGTGCCAGCATGGAATTACGAAATATACTTTACACATCAATTTTGATCTGTACAACGTCATTCACACTTTAGTCGTCGGTTACATCAGCCGTTTTGTGTTGTTGAGTGTGCTCCGAATGCTTTGCGCTTGTATGGCCGTGTGTATATTCCGTGTATGTTGGATGGAGAGTTAGCGAACAAATGACTGACTGACTGAGTGTGTGTGCATGGAAGGAACAAAAAAACATTTCTTTTTGGATATGATTATCGAACCTGAATGGAAATCAAATTCAGAGTGCTGTGAGCCATTTGTGAATGTGAACGGAGCGCGCGCGATACACACATTTTTCGTGTGTTACAGACATTGTGTGTTTTCGGTCGAATGAAAAGAAGAAATTTTGTGAAAGAAAAACATTAGTGAAAGCGCAAAATAACATCAGGCATTTTAATAACTCTTTTTATAGTGAATTTAGTAACAAAAATCAATTTTAGTTAGTTAACAGATTGACTGAGTGAGACAAACGATGTGTTCAAACACTCCAAAGAAATAAATTCGGAGACAAA